CGTCTCTCTTTTTCTCACGCGCAATTAGATAAGCTTCAAACGGATAGTCTCTAGTATATCTTGATTTTATCATTTATCATCTATGAAATGCTATTAACAATTACTCTATTCTCTTCATGCAAACTATCGATATAAAATGACTTTTCTGATGAAACTTAATAGTAATTAACGAAACTCGAGGTCGGGTACAGCCTCTAAGCCAATCGTTAAAAATATGAGGTGCCTCTCTCGTGATAAATACCTAAGTAACTCTCGTGGGGATACCTAGTGTCACAGTAGCAAAATGTGTCATGCCAGCATGTTCCGCTCTGTGTTGCTCGATGCTCTCAACGTCACCGACCTCGCCGACAGCAGCGAGTGCCGTCGGCCGTTCTGCAAGCGTTAAGAGTTATCCTGTTTAGGCAAGAGATTTGTTCGTTCCTCGTCGCCGCTCAGCTTCTTCATGGCGGGCGACATTCGTGCCATCTCGGACTGCCGTGCGAGAACGTCCGCATCGAGCGCGCTCAACGAGTCGCGTTTAAGTTGCATCTCCACTGGGCTCGTTTGTACCTGGAATGCAATACAATTCGACATGTCAGAAAAGTCGAGAGGAAATAAATCTCGCGTTAGCCTAATCTTGTCGCGAGGGTTAAGACATGTAAGAAACCTTCGCTGTTGAATTCCTGATTTTTCCATCGTTCCGCGGCGAGATGAACTTCGAATTCGTGATCGGACTGGCGCTGACCGGAAGCGGCGACGTCGGCGCCGTGACGCTGCGTATGGGCGAGTGAGTGACGGCGTCCTTTCCCCGCTCGCTGTCCGTCAGTCTGTCCGCGGGCAATATCGGAGATTCAGGTACACTGCGATCGTCCTCCTCCAGTGAATGCAGCAACTGCAGAGTGACAAGATCGGTGGTCGGTCATTACATTTAAAGATTGACTTGGAAAATTTCAGCTTTTACAGCAGCTCATGACTTATTGCACAACCTTCTCCACTTCATCGTCGAACTGTTCCTGACTAGGCAGCGGATCCTTTTGGCTTCTCTCCAGGAGGGTGGCGCGCTTCGCGGCGAGGTACAGGGATCTCTTGACTTTCACGTAGAATACCTCGGTCACCGCGCGCACCGTGTAGTCCGGTATGAAGGTGTGACGCAGCATAGAATCCAAATTGACCGACTGAATGCTCCCGACCGTCTGCGGGTTCGCGTTCGTGGGCGACTCGGCTGGCAAACGAAAGAGCGGATCGTTCAAGCGAAGCCCCGTTTT